TGTGTATCAGTCTGTGTACAGTATCAGTCTGTGTATCAGTATGTGTATCAGTCTGTGTACAGTATCAGTCTGTGTATCAGTATGTGTATCAGTATGTGTATCAGTATGTGTATCAGTCTGTGTACAGTATCAGTCTGTGTATCAGTATGTGTATCAGTATGTGTATCAGTATGTGTATCAGTCTGTGTATCAGTCTGTGTATTAGTATCAGTCTGTGTATTAGTATCAGTATGTACTTCCTGTTTTCTGTTCAGGGGCTTCAGGAAGGTCCAGGTTCACCGTTGGCAGGTCCTGAAGGAGAACCGTGCTCCTCCCCACACACCACCTCCTGTGTGAGTCAGGGTGGGCACTGCACTGCCTCGTCGTCAGCGTCTTCTCTGTCCCCCACCTCCCCCCAGACCACACCCACCCACCTGTCGTCCCCTCCCCACTCTGCTACTACCTCAGGGCTCCACACCAAAGACTTCACGCCTTCTCGGGACAAACATGGCTGCAGTGCTGCCGCTCTGTCACYAGGTCCTGAGACCAGCACACGACAATCTGGAGGGTCATCCAGCACTCCCCCCACTCCCCCCGCACAGGGATTGACCAATCACGTGCAGCTGCAGGTGACTGACAGCTGCTCGGTTCTGTCCCAGCCTGGTTCTCCTGCCCCCGGCACGCTCCCTGCAGACAATCCTCAGCTGTCAGCCTTTCTGAAGGGACGAGACCACCATGAAAACCAGGACCACCACAGAGGGTCTTCCTGTGAGAACATGAACAGTGTCCACCCTGCTGTCCACAGCAGCACCAAGCTGCTGTCAGAGCACTCAGTGACGTCCTCTGCAAGCCCCTCCCCCTCCTCTGCAGAGCCTGTCACTACAAACCCTCCGTCCTGCCTTAACAGCCCCTCCTGCCACAGTCAGGGTCCTGCGCTGAATGGGACGGAGCTGGAGGACTGTCAGAACCTTCTGAAGGTAGAACCTTCTGGATCAGCTCATAGACACTCTGCTGCTCCGCCCCCCTGGTCCTCACTGTCCATCTACCCCAGCTCCACTGATGTACTGAAAGCATGCAGGTAAGACGCTCATTAATGAGAGTAAATACACAAGATGTTTAAAAATCATGTTTTTGATTCAGGTTAGGTTTGTATTAATCATTGTCACATTTTAAAAACAAACAGAATGTAAGTGTAATTTCACATGATGCATCAACATGAAACAGTTCTGGTCATCTAAAGGTCAGAGTCAACAGGAAGTTCTTATTTTACCAAAATATCTGTCCAATGCAGAAGTGATGGAGGGGTAACCGTTATAATAACCCCCTCTGCACAATGGTACATGGACTGTACTGATGTAGTGCTGTATAGAGGTGTAAGAAAATATAGATACACTGAAATATCGCGATATTTCATTTCCTGATACTGTATTGATATTCTAAAGTCCTGTATCGATTTTTAATTAAGGTTTAAAATGTCAACTTTCCTGCCAGCCATTCATTTTTATGTTGTAGTTCAGCCTCTGACCACTAGTTGGCAGCAGTGAGCCAGACATTTGGCTCCTCTACCTCTTGAGCGCCAGAGAGTAAGGGTAGCATTAGCATTGTAAGTAAACATTAGCTTCATGCTCCGATAGCTGAATGTGAGCAGAAAAGACCGACACCCTCTGGCTTCTAAGCTGAGGTAAGGTTACAAACTGTTACTTATTTGTCAGAATGTCTGGATTTTAAGACAAATTAAGTGTTTTGTGCTCTTTTTTCCAACTGTAGTCAACTTTCACGTTACACGTATATCACATGCGTCTATCACCTCGAGTGAGCTCGTCACTCCCCCCGTGACATAAAACTCTGTAATATTAGATTTTTCTGAGACAATGAATTTTGGTTTTGTTGTTGTTGTTGTTGTTGTTGTTGTTGTTGTTGTTGTTGTTGTTTTTTCCCAGTAAGAGGTTTTTATTTAATAGAATTTTTGGACCAAAAATATCACAATATATCGCCTTGTTTACAGTATTGAAATATATCAGGATATATCATATCATGACCCCTCTGTCATGATATGTATCGTATCACCAAATTCTTGCCAATACACAGCCCTAGTGCTGTATCAAAGTGTTTACTACAGTCGGATGTAAAGWTACGGCAAGCCAGGAGAGACACAACATATAAATGTGCCTCAGCTTCATCAAACACAAGACTTCTGAGGTTAACCTCATGGCAGATATTCATCTCCTGCTCTATGAACTGATATTGCAAAGTTTTAATGAAATTGATCCCAGATGGATTTATTGTTGTTTTGTTTTGTTTTGTTTTTTACCACCTGATGTGTTTGTGAGGAAAGSTTTGCTGTCCCATTGACAGCAGAGTAAGTTTTCTTCTTGAAATGAGTGTAATGTTAACGGCAGTGATATTATGCATTGATTGCATCAGAACTTAAAGTTCTCAGTCACCTGATGGAYTTCCATCACTTTGAACGAGGCCAGGATGGAAAAAATAAAGAGCAACTCTGGTTGTTTTCTGTTGCGGTGTTGTTAAACCCCCCCAGTCTACCCCTAAACGTGTCACTACTTTCATCAAATGAAGCAAACCCCAGAGCCCTTTTATCCAATCAGAGCAGAGCAGAGGCGGGTCAGTAAACAGCAGAGCAGAGTCMGTCCTGAGTGAAACCTCTTCTCCTCGTTTCTCTCCTTGGACTTTGGTTTATAAAACTTAACTTTATATTAAATATTTGTGCTCAGAGCGCTGTTATCCAACACATATGTCCAACTTTGTGTGCGTGACCAAGCTGCTTGTGAAAAGGTTGCACATCATTCAGTTTGTTTGTCCGTCATACTTTTGCTCTTCTATTCTACAACATTTCATTAGTAAAGTGTTGTACCACATGTCCTGTTTTACTACAATAATGTGAGCACAAATATAAACCCCTCCATCTCTGGTGAGGATGTGTGTGTACTGAACCAACACCGTCTGGTGTGAGTCAGATTCACTGATGAATGTTTGTTTGTCCCTGTGTTTAACATTTACCTCCTCATCCTCACCTGGAGAACAGCACCATGTCCTCCAGGTGAGTGTGTTTCAAAGGTTTCTGTAGTTTTAGTTTATTTTTTTATATTTAGAACCATACTGTGACAGGGCTGCTCTGTGATAATTCAATAAATGATCACATATAAATAAACAGGATTAAATGAGCTTGAACAATTTAAATAACTGTTTAAAAAACAGTAATTTAAAAAGATAAATCAGTCTAATAAAGTATTTTGAAGTTATTTTGTTCTGTATAACAGACAGATATTTGATATAATTTTCAAATAAATAATTAGGATYTGTCTGGTTAAATAAAGGTCAATAAATAAATCTGTCCTTCCATCATTAGTGCTGTAACAGTTCCAAACATCATGGATCAGTTTCTCATAAAACAAGCTGACAAAACTGACAAAGTTATTTTCTTTATGTCACCATTGTTTGTCAGAGTTAGTTTATGTTGTGAAGGCTGCATGATGTCATCATGTCAGTTTATGTTGTGAAGGCTGCATGATGTCATGTCAGTTTATGAGTGGACCTGTCATTAAATCAGGCAAAGAAATGTTTCTTAAACTCACTGTTGGTGGTAATCAGTGTTTTACCTGTTTACTAGGTAAAGTTTTAATGTTCTTAGTTTTAAACATGCAGTTGAGGCTCATTGTTTGGCACAATGTTCTGTAACAAATAAAACGAAACCAAGAATAAACAATATAAATGTAAAATAATTCTCTAAAATCATTGTTTATGATAAATTGTGTCACATTTATTTTATTATCATGGCTACAGCAGTGAGTTTAAAAACAAGATGATGCAACTAATTAAATGAAGAATCTGTCTCTAATTTAGTTATTTAATCAWGTGTTTTTATGAAGGTAAAAGTATGTTTAGGAACCTGTAAAATACACCAGAATGCAGGAAACTGCATCTATTAAATTCAAATTTTCTTAGAGAGAATAAACCGACACAGAGCACCGCCTGTGTGCCTCTATGAAAACCCTCACCTGTTACTGTGTGTGTTTGAGTGGGGTTTATGAAAAATATTTCAATCAAAAAGTTTTTTTTTTGCTTTAACCCATGTTGCATGTAAAGAGCTGTCACAGTTTAGTTTTGTCTTCTCAGGATTTTCTTACTCATTTCTAAAAACAATCCAGTGTGTTTTAGTCCAGTTTTAATGTTCCTGGGTTTATTAAAGCATAATTACAAACAGCCACATTGGACCTTGTTAGTTTACTTATTTTCACTGCCTYTGTGCATGTGTGTTATACTGGTGTCATCCACAAGCAACAGAAACCATACTGCCACCTTGTGTCATAACTGAGCAGTTTATCTTTTCAYATTAATGGATCAGGGTTTCATTCATGTTTTCATGCCCTGCAGGCTTTAATAAACTAAGTGCACATGAGGTGGATGTGTTGAAGGAGTGCTTCCTGAAACTGTGTGTGTTAAAGTTCTCCAACATAAACTCATTTGATCTGTTTGTGTTTGCTGCTCTCAGGTAAAAGTAACAAGTTAAATGACCTGAGTGATCACAAAGCTTTGTTGTGTTTCACATTCAGCTGTGTCTCCCTCTAGGGCTGCCACAAACCATTATTTTAATTATCGATTAATCACAAATTATTTTTTGATTAGTTGACTAATCAGATCATACGTTAACTGAATATAAAACATAGAGCTTATCGTACCAGAATACAGCTGCTATTATATAACCATGGTTAGAGTTTAGCTATATGCTAACTAAAAATAATAGCTGTGGAAGGTAAGTTCTGCTCTGCAGATATTACACAGGTTTCTCTTTCATTTTCTTCAAATGATCCCACACTTTGAGCTCTGTTGTCAGGTAGCCATGATACCAGAGCCTGTCTGTATAATGTCTTGTGACGTCCACGGCCTACCCCAGTTACCACTACTGTGCATGTGTGTCAAGGACAGAAAGGCAGACGTGGCAGTGGAAGGTGTCAAAGCAGTTTGGAGAGAAAAACAATGTAAAGAACAAAGAAAAGGAAAACAATTAATCTATTATTAAATTAATCATCGATTATTTTAATAAATGATTAGTCGTCGACTAATGGTGGCAGCCCTATCTCCCTCACACTGTGACTGCAGGAACCTGGGGAAGAACGGCCCGTCATCCAGCAGCATCTTCCTGGATCGGTGTCCCCCACCACGGCCGCCTGGACCACCCTCCCCTCCACTGCCAAAGGACAAGCTGAACCCCCCAACACCCAGTGTTTATGTATGTACAGACACAACACAACACAACACACTGGTCAGCCTGATCCTCCCTGATGCTCACAGCTTGTCTTTGCTCACAGCTGGAAAACAAGAGGGATGCTTTCTTCCCTCCTCTTCATCAGTTCTGCACTAACCCTGCCAACCCAGTGACCGTCATCAGAGGCTTGGCTGGGGCACTGAAACTGGGTGAGAGCATGGGTTCACACAGCTGGTTTCATGATTTTAACATGATGTCTGTGTGGAAACATCTGAGAGGTGATGTTCAGCTGCAGGATTGACTGGATGCATGACTCACCATCTGTTTCTATCTGTGTGTGTGTGTCTGTGTTCACTCAGTAGATAAATGTGATGTGTAACAACAGCGCCATCTGCAGGTGGAAAACATTGCTACAGTTTTTAAAGTCCTGTCTCACTTCTGTAAAATCACTGTAAAGCTAAGCTGGTCCCTTCCTTGAACCACTGCCAAACAACACACACACACACACACACACACACACACACACTTACATGGCATCTCTTTCTTTCATAAAACTGTCAGCTGGGTTAAACTTGGACAGTCTGACAGATATGAGATGTCAGGACGTTTGGTAACCTTGTTTTTCTGTAAATAATCATTTTTGTGTTTGATCAGTTTAAATGCAGCAGTGATTGGGCAATTGAAAATGTTCTTTATTTTTATTTGTTTTTTGGACATACAGTAGATTTGATGCAGAGCAGGAAGGTAGATGTATTCTGTGTGTAAAGACCAAGTGGAGGAGCAGCGAGGCTCACAGTTTCACTTGTTTCACCATGTTGTGGAGGAGAAATGGAGTTGTGTTGGACTGAAAGGAGTAATTAGTTAGGGAAGAAAAGCAGATGAAAATAGTGTCAGACAAAGTGATGTGTGTGAAAACAGAAGCAGATGGTCTGATGTTGAATGTTAGCAGTGATCCTGTTCCACAGGTTAGATTAAGGTTGGACAAAATCTGATTGTTTGCAATTAATTGTTCTAAAAACTGTCACTAATTAATATTTGCCACTTTGCAATCAGTGCCACGTGATGACGTATGTTTGTGTGTAACACTATCATGCATGAGGCCATGACATACTGTGCTACTAACCATCTGCTGCTGTTCTACAGTGGATTTAATCCACAGATTACTACTTAACCTGTTGAAATAAAGTTTGTTACCCTGATTGTAAGTATAATTTTAGAACACAGTTTGAGTGTATCTATTAAACATTATGGACTGAACGCCACAATCGTGGCAAGTTTTGTTGTTAATAATTGAGTGTGAATGTGAGGTAGAGGTGAAAGAGAACTGCAGGAAGGAACTACATAAAGTGATGGAGCCCGAAGAGTAGAGCGTGGTGATGGAGACGTGCTGGGACTGTTGGAGGAAGTGATGAACAGATGTGCTGTCAGAGACATCTACCAGAATCACAGATGATTGTGTAAAGCTGTGGTCAGCTTGTGTTAGAAAACCAGGAGAATGTGTGTGTTCAAATATGTAGCTGTCACTGTATCACATTCATGTTCCCACACCTCTGAAATCCAGTTAAACCATTAGCACTGTGCTGTGTTTGAGTCAGGACCTTCTGTCTGCTTGTTTGTCTTATTGTGAACACATTCAGTGTTTACTGTGTAATTTATTAATAAAGATGTGTTTATATTTTAATTCTTCAGTTGTATAAACCTTTAGTGCATGTCAACGTGTGTCGCAGCTTGTTTGATGCATCTCATTGTCAGACTTGTCAAAGACTTCTCCTCCTGCTCACCTCTGTGTTCTGCACTCAGACTTGGGTCTGTTCTCCACAAAGACGTTAGTGGAGGCCAATCCTGACCATCTGGTGGAGGTGCGCACCCAGCTGGCACAGCCCACTGATGAAAACTGGGACCCCAGTGGTGCCAGGAAGATGTGGCGCTGCGAGAGCAGCCGCTCTCACACCACCATCATCAGATACGCTCAGTACCAGGCCACATCCTTCCAGGAGTCTCTGCGGGTCAGTAGGACACTCAGCCTCTCAATAACTCACCCATCTGCTACTAAACTGTCAATAACTCACCCATCTGTTAGTAAACTGTCAGTTACTCACCCATCAGCTACTAAACTGTCAATAACTCACCCATCAGCTACTAAACTGTCAATAACTCACCCATCAGCTACTAAACTGTCAATAACTCACCCATCAGCTACTAAACTGTCAATAACTCACCCA